GGGAAAGGATTGGGATGAGCCAAAATGGTGAAAAATGCCCCTATTAGTGTACTGTAAAATATAATAATTGTAATATGATGTAAATATTATGTATATTTACACTAATAGGAACATTTTTGTACTATTTGGTTCACAGCAAGATAAAAAAAGAGAGAGGAAAAAAAGCTTATGTTAATCAACTTATTAAATCTATAATATAAAAATATCAATTTTTTTCACTGGTCCTCCTTTTCTCCCCTTTTACTTCTCACTTGATCTCACTCGATCTGTGAATAAATTCTCTGTATAGCGATTTGTTGTGGAATTCGGACAAATCGCAGATCACCCAAAATTCGTCCAAACTGCGATTTCTTTGATCTGAACGCACACATTAACCGAGTGAAAAGATCGTATCAAGATATAAATATCAGAGCATGAAATTCAGGAAATGTGTTGCATATTTCCAAAGCCAGAGTGGAATGTTTAGCTCATCTGCCGCAGTAATTATGGTGAATAAGTACCCTGTCCTGGAGGGCAAGGAAAGAATGAGTTGAATTTATTATAGACTTCCTCTCGTGCTTTGCTCCCAGCCCAGCTGTACATAGAGACCCTACTGTGATGTAGGAACAGCTACTGTGCAGACAGAGGGAACATACAGGATCCATGCACATGCAGGCAGACACGCAGCCAGACACGCTCCCTCACTTCCATATTGACTCATATTTCAACTCTCTTTACAGACTATTGTATATTAAAGGGACACTCCACACACCTAAAGCAGTTACATTGCTGAAGGACTTTATGTGTGAAGAATGTGTCCTGTTTTTTCATTATACAAAAAAGGTGCAGATTTCATAGATATTGACACTTTTATAAATGAACTTTGTTACACCCCCTGGCTGTCAGATAAACACCCCGTCCTGTTACGTCCTGGTTTGTTTAGCTCAGGGGAGATAAACTCAAGAGGCAGAAATTGCCCAGAGCACCTGCCTTGCACAGAATTCTCATTGAGCTGCATTGGGGAGTCTGTGATTGGACAGCCACAGAAAGCTTCGGCGTGGTTAGACTGCAGACAAGAGATCAGCAGGTTTTACAAGCTGTGTCTAGATATAACACAATGAAAAGAAATGCATAATTAAATGCTACATTCTTTCATTGGCAGAATATCTACTAAACAGGGATTTTTATTTCTTAATTTGGGCAGTGGAATGTCCTATTAAAGAGCTAGAATAGGATCACCCCTTTAACGTAATCCTTTAATATGTAAAGTTCTTCTGTCCCAACTGTGAGAATACAACAAACAAGACCGAAGCCTTGAATGGTGATAATCCGGTCTGACATAGAATGGAATATACTAATTAGCACGCGGTATACTTATAGTTACATTGACAGATAAACCAGCAAAGAGACAGAAAGACAGAAAAACAAACTGACTGACAGAACAAAACCAAAAAAGTGTATAGAATAAAAATAGTGCAAGAACAACAGTGTGACCAGCGTGCACATTTATGAAAGTGACAACAAAGTGACACGTAATACAAAAAATGAAATACCAAGAGGATACTGTTCAGCTGGTGCTCCTGGCCTGTCTGTCTGTGTCTCTGTGTATATAGAAGGATTCCACATGGCTGGCTGAACTTGGTATCTGCTCCGCTAATCTGGTGTGGGAATCATGGCTCTCACATTGAACTCTCAGAGCCAGGGTTTCTAGGACTCTGCTAAATGGGAGTTTTATCCCAGATATTCTCTTTATATGTGTTTATACCAGATGGCATGCACTATGTGTATTTATGTTATTATTTGCAGACCATTATATGAAGATTCAATGTTAAACACATTCTAAAAGCGCGCTGCTTTCTTGATATTTAATTTTTTTTAACTGACAGATTGTCTGACTGTCAATTAACGAGCAGACGGATTGACAGACAGACAAGCTGACAGACAGAATGAAGATTTTTGACACAAGTGAATGCATTGTGAGAGAACATTTGTCACGTACCATTTTCCTCTCTAACAGAATGAAGCTGTTATTTTGGAGGTAATGTAACATTGTAATCACTAGCCAAATTGTATTTATTTATTGTGCGTTTATTTATTTATTCTTTATTTTTCGACAAACTCCTTTTGGGTGAACTTTCTATGTAGTGCAGACAGTGCTGGCACAGCCTGGCATCGGATGGCAATTCAAAATATCCCATGATTCTCTGCATGGTCTCTGGGAATCATGGGAAGTAAGGAACGCTCAGCGTGCATAAATACAGATCATTCTCACAGCTGCCTGGACAGACAGGTTACTGAATTCAAACTGATTTCTACTTTGTTATATTGCACGCAAATGCATGGATCAAATGATATGATACCAGCATTCATAAAACTGTTTAACCCGTTGTATACCTGAATTGTGCCGTGCAAAGGGTTAATGCTCAAAAAGAACTTATTCACTAAAAATGAACCAGGGAATTGAGAAAATAGGTCAAAATACCAAAATTAGAAAACCCTGATGGTTGAATTTTATTTAGCTTGGTTTATTTAACCTTGATCAAAATGCACTGTGAATAAAAACATTGCCTTATTCAATTAATCATTAAAACAATTATTAAAGCCCTGCTCGTGTTTTATTGAGTATTATTTCCGTGTTGCTATAACAGGCCTGTGTTGTTATTATAAACTGTGTATTATTTATAAACGTTATAGCAAACGGAATGCTGATGTCTCAGGCACTCCAACACTGCCATCTAGTGGCTTTATTGCAGTTTACTAACTAGTGACATCAATTCAAACCTGGGTGAAGAATTTAGGTGAAAATAGCAGGTTTGGAAGATTTCTCTAATTCACCTCCTTCTCTAAATGTATTAATTTATTCTACCCTTTGTGATTTGCTATTAGGTTAATAAACCCGAACCATGTTTTATTGGAGTTTACTTTGGATTACATTTGCAGTTGAATTGCCATTTGACCACCGCACGGAGTTTAGTGAATAAGTCTATTAAACCCTAGACTATGGAGGGACCAAGCACAGTGGTGTCATCTATCATCTTGCAGTGTTACCATGATGTCACACTTAGACAGCATTGTGGCCTCCTGTTTGCTGGTGGCTTAACCCTCCCTCCCAATATTAGTATTTTATGAAGATATGACTCCAACACAGTCCAAATATATCATAAGAAAAAGTACTTTGTCTTAGTATATTTCCTACATTTGATAAAGGCAGAGCTACCGACAGACAGCTGTGGGGAAAAAGTATTTTTGTGTCCCATGAGATCCTTCATAGACCTCAGTCCATGTGCCAGAGTCCACACTGATGTTGCCCCCTTGGCTAACGAAAAACCAGAAGCTGTAGAGGGTCCATCAGACAAAAATGGCAATAGCTGTGATGGACAGCTTCAGGTGAGCAAAACGTCCCTTCCCCTACACCCCTGGTCCAACGCACTGCAAGCTGCCATGTCACCATTGTGGGTGACAAGATATCCCAAAAACACTAATACATCCGTAAATGGGTACAGCATTAAAACGGTTTATCTTCATCCAGATAAACATGATGAGAAGATGCAGGTAGGGATCTAAACGATGGCACCCGTGTCAAAATGAGACTTCCCCTTCAAAATCCCAGGCAGTTTTGTAGCCCCCTATTATCATTCCTTTTAAAAGATTAAAGCTGTCTTTGACCAGGGATTTGAAAGAAGGTAGTGAGCCAGGCAAGGACAAAAAAAAACAAACAATTTTATTGAAATCAAAGAAAAAAAATGTTTTCAC